AGTAGAAGTTAATCTAGATTTAAATGATCAAACAAGTAACAGGAAATAGATGAAGAAAATTCATCTTTCTCCCCGTGTAGAATGTTTCTGGTGGAGAATTTTAAACAAAGCTTTGCCTATGTTTGATTTCTTAATGCAAAGGAAAATTCTGGAGTGTTGTCTTTGTCTGAGAGGTTGCATAGCGGTAGAAGATGAAGAGCATGTCACGGTGAAATGTGAAAAATTAGTTCCTGTTATTTAGTTGCTTAACGATTGGGGATTTGTTGTACAAATTTTTAATTCTTTCTTGTAGTGTATTTATAGTTTGGAATTCTCTCTTCTACAAATCTGTTTATTGCTAATCTCTACTACACTCTGATATTCTTTTCTTGGAAGAGTAGGAATTGTGTTCAGCATGGTTCCACAGAATTTGGTTGGTGTTATATTTCTTCAAATGCTCTTAGTATTACATTAAATTCAGCAAAATTAAATAGCTATTCAGACCACTAGGGTGTTAATCAGTGATTGCTATCTCATACTTGGCACCCTCCTCAATCCGTATGGATCAAATTTAATTTTGATGCTACTTTGGTAAAGTCTAATGAAGCCGACCTTGGTGGCATTTTTAGAGACTCTAAAGGAAGGTTTTTACTTGCTTATGGAATCAAAACGATTCATTGGGATAGCGGATTGCTAGAGCTTTTTTGCTTTTAGATCGTTGAAGAAAATCATTCATGATTGGAAAATTGAAGCAAACGGCATTGTGATTGAATGTGATAATCACAATGTCATCAAGTTTCTTCAAGGATCGATTGATAAAGGGATTGGCTCAGATAACTTTGGCTCGGTCGAAGACTTCTCCTTTTTAAAGGATTTTGGGAATATTATTTTTCATTTCACGCATAGAAAGAGTAATAAGTTAGCCGATTTTTGTGCTAACATGGCTTTAGTAGGCGATTTCTTTTGGGATGATCTTAGTGCTAATAATATTCCTCCTATTTTTTTAAATTTGTTAAAGGAGGTTTGTGATAGATTTCCTATCACATAGTAGTTTGTAATAATTTCTTCTCTTTAATGCAAATTGCATTTCTTTTTAAAAAAAACATTTATAAGAGACACCAAGATTTTTATATGGAAAATTATGAAAAGAGGAAAAACCATGGGGCCTAACCCAATTTAAATTAATCCACTAGTATTTGTAATTGATTATAAATGAGGTCTTTCATTGGAGGGAAGGTCTTGGCTTAATGTAACAAATAGACACCATATAAATTGTATTACATGATGGAAATTGGAAGAATCAATATTAATATGTTAGTTTGGTCGACAGGACCATAGTTGGCGGGCAACGGATCGGAAAGATCGTTGTCTAGCGATGAAGGTCGGAAGGATTATAATTGGCCGGTGAAGAAGGTCGAAAGGACTGTTGTCAGCAGGTGATGGAGGATGTAAAGATCATTATTTGGTGATGGAGGTCGTAAGGACCGTTGTCGGGCGAAAGGACCATTGTCGGGCAGAAGTCAAAGAATAATTGGAAGCCGAGTAGAAGTCTGGCATCAGTCGCCGACCGAGTAAAAATCCAGTGTTAGTTCGTGGACGAGAAGAAGTCCAATGTCAGTTGGTGGCCAGAAAGAAGTTTGACGTCAATTCGTGGTCGGGCAGAAATCCAGCGTCAGTTGGTGGCCAGGCAAAAAATATGATGTCAATTGTTAGACGAGCAGAAATCTAGTGTCACTTGTGGTCGGGCTGAAGTCCGATGATGATCAATGAGGAGTTTGGCGGCAAAAAAACTCTCTTCCTTCTCTTCATGCTTCTTGCTTGGTATCCGCCACCATGAGAAATTAAGGGTCTATTGATAGTTTCCTGAGAGTGACATGGCAGCTAAATTGGAGGAAGATCAAGAGTAAATTGGGAGTTGATTGAATGGACGACCAATGTTGAATCACTTAATCGTGGACCATTTATTGGGCATTTGAATGTCTTAATGATATCAAAATTCGTGATCTTGGGCTTGTTGGATTCGTCTAGTAGATCCACTCGATTTGACTAAAAGCATGTCACATTTCAAAAATGTTTGGTAATCTAAATTATGGTTTGAACCTTCCAAATGTGCTTTGGGTCTTTAATTTGGACTCATTCGGGCTCGGATTGAGTTGAATTTGGTGTCGTTGGGTTCGTATTTTCAAGACGTTCAGTTCGGCTGTAAGTTTGCTGAAATCGAAGTTCAGATGGTCATGAATTTAAAATTTGAAGTTTCCAACTTGATTTTGCCTCGAGATTCGTGCCCGATCAAGATAATTTTTTTATGATGTCTCATCTTATGAAACAAAAACATAAAAATATAAAAACAAAACATCAAGGGGCCAACCACTTAGTTTTCAATTTAATAACTTAAAAAAAACTGCTTCATGTAAAAATAATTATATAAAATAAATGAATAAGTAGAAAAAATGTATGTCTAAAATGTTTAGTCAAAATACCTAAATATTCTTTTAATTATAAGAAAATTAAAAAAAAATCTAATAGCTACAGTATTAAAAATTACATACAAATAAAAGAAAATAGTATAAAAATAAATAGATAAGCATATTAAAAATTAAAATAATAATGATAAAACATCATAGCACCATCCACGTGGTGACTTAGTTTTATTTGCATATTACAAATTTTTCCACCTATTTTTCATTAATTGAATTTAGAAATAATCAGATTTTAAAATTTTGCCAATTGAAAATGCTCTCTAGCTATCAAATATTCTCATCAATTTATAACTTTTTTTTCTATTAAATTAAATTTAGTTAAAGCAAATTTTGAGCCATATCGAATAAATTAATTAAAACTCTTTCAATATAAGCATATTTAATTGAGCATAATGGCCATTTAAATTCTGTTCCACCCAATTTGTTTAGTTGCATTTATTGTACTAGTTCTTTTAAATAAATATATTTTATATGCGAACATTCTGATATATATATATATTATATATCTATATATATATATATATATATATATATATATATATATATATATATATATATATATAATATATATATATATATATATATATATATATATATATATATATAAGTCATGAATTATTTAGTTTTATAAAGTCCAGAAAAATTTCAATTGCTCTCATTCAATAGCAAACCAAAGCCCATCCGATTGTTTGTAGATAAAGATAAGTGTTAGAAAAGATAAAGATAATCGTTAGAAAATGATAAGATTTATTCAATTTGATCATAAACTGAATTTAACTTTCAAAAAAAAAAAGTTTCACAAACTGCTTAAAAATTTTTTTTCCAAAGTTTGATTTGTTCTTAATTGATAGAAGCTATTAAGTGGGTTGCCTCTTTTTTTTGGTGATAAGAAGTCATTTCTCTTGATGAAATGACTACTCATTGATGATGGTGATAAGATATATATATATATATATATATATATATATATAATATATATATATTATATATAATATATATAATTATATATATAAATATATATATATATATATATATATATATATGATGATAGCATGGTAGTAAAGTAGTCAATTAATTCTTCTATTGATATTATATAGCAAGGAATGATTGTTGGATAGAATGATGATGGTGATATTGGGCCAATATTGCAAGGAAAGCATTTCCATTTCCTTCTTGCTGAGTTTTCTGTAGTTGTTTAAAGTGCTCATTGTGCAAGTCTGAGCCTACTATGAGTCATATCATAATCAACATGATTTAATCACTTCATTTGTGTGGATAAGAAAAGCTTCAGGAAGAGCTATAATAGGTTGTCATTCACAATGGAATCTATTGAGAGATATGGCACCTTTTGGTCTTTTTTTTATAAGATTTGTTCGATAAGGATTTGAATATTATTCATTTTAAAAATACAACTTCTCATACTATTTGGAACCTAACAAAAACAATTTAATGATAACAAAATACTATCAAATGAATATGAGTATTTCATAAAATTAGTCGTATTTATTTTGTTTTGTAGAATTCTAGACGCGAGTTACATCCAAACTCTACCTGTAATAATTTCTCCTATCTAAAAAGACATTTTGATTGCAACAATCTAGAATTACAATGCAAAGTAAATTCACAATATTTTATATAATTTAACATGTTTGATTGGTTGTATAATAAATTTAAGAGAGTAATTTTTATGATTGGATTCCTATAAAATAAACCTCTACATATTATTTTAACATTTTTCAATTAAATTGCAAATTATAAATATATCAACAAATTACTTTACATTCTTTTTTTTCATATAATCAAACAAAATTTTTAAAATTCCTACATTCCTTCTACGCTGTTCTCAAAACAATTCAAACCAAATGACCCCTAAATGATATTCCAACAAACTCTCAAACTGCTAATATCCTCGCCAAGTTTTACCTAAAATGAGTTTTGAAAGCTTAAGCAACAAATAGGAATGATCAACATAAACAACTCAATCTGAAAAGAAGTATTTTTCTAACTTTCAAGACTATCATCTGCCCAATCTAAAAAATACGCAAATAAAATTGCTTCCGAGGAAGAGAAACAGAAAATGTAACAATCACTAAGATTGGGCGAGAGCCTTTACATTATTTATACCGCATAAAATTAGGTCAAAGAGACTTATCTGTTACCTCTAAACTTTCACAAAGTTGGAAGAAAAAAAAAGGTCTAGACCAGATCCTTAAATCTTACAAATTGCAAATCTTCTTCGTAAGTCGGGAAACAGGAGTGATTCCAGCTGCGTATTTTCCTTTGATTCATTTTGCTAATCAAAGAAAAGTATTAAAATACTATACGAATTTTACGACAATCACAAGGGAGTTCTGCAAAGAACACAACGAACAATACTTTTTTTTTTTTTTCGTTTTTCTTTTTTTTTTGAAATATCTAAGAAAGTGTTTCCACAGTTCCAGAAGATAAAAGTTTAGAAAGGATAAAACAGACCACCACAGGTCCACAGCGGGATATCTGTTTTCTAAAATATAAAACAGCAGTGACTATAGCCCGCCAGAGTTATGATAAATTTTCTATTCTACCTAATTAACATAAAACAATGTTACAAATCATAGATATTATTCTCAACTGGAAAAAACTATGACTGGTTTCTTGAGCAAAACCATTGTTGTATGATCCCATACCATCATACATGATAATTATACAAAATTGACCGAGTTACGTTAAGAAAAGTGGGGCTTCCTCGTAGTCACAGCAGCAATAGGGCACATCAAATACAACAAATAAAGTCAAAATAACTTAAATGGCTATCATAATGTCATTTGGAGTTCTTCATACCTTATTATTCAGTTGATAGATTTCAATCATCATCCTTGAACTCTCTGGTAAGAGAAGAACATATCAATGTTTTCATCATGAGGATCTTTAGAAAGCTCGCAAAGTCATTTTATGAATTTATTTGAAAAGAATGAAAGAATTCCCCGCTGGTCTTATCAAAGAAACTATAGCTATAAAAAGATTGTTTTCTCCCTACCAGTTCGCTCTGGTTTCGGATGCAAAACTAAATTAAGAAACCTACTAAGAAAATCTAATGATAAAAACAGTAAAGATTGAGTGAATCAGTTTATTCAATTTTAATACAAGCTAACTCGTTCTTCTTCCCATAGAAAACTCGTAATGATTTACCTCATGCCATACTTGAAATGTTAAAAAAAGCCATTATTCTAAATAGCAATCCCTGTTTAAAACTTTTGTTGCAAATGATTTGGAATTCTATTTATAATTACCATGAATTCACGTATTACCAGCACCAAATTTAGAATAATTTTCCCATGATCTGAAAACAAAAGAATGGTTTTAGGTTCCTTAATAATCACAAAAGCAACAATAATTCTCTGAATTTATTTGTGCTGATGACAGTTTTAGTCCCTAGCTTCAATCAACTCATCATGCAAATGATTGTGATAAAACGAAAGTAAATATTTTTCTTTCAATAGTTCTTTGATTACATTTCATTTCTCAATATTTACCTTTGCCACTCAATACCAATCCACTGCATTTTAACAAGTCTGATAAATTTCAATTTAGTAAATCTCTCCCCTCTTATTTCTACATATTTTTTTTCATTCAAATAAATTAACCAAATTCATTATCCAATAAAAAAAGAACATTATGAGCAGTTTTACTATCAAAAGTACACAAATATTTTCTTCTATATCATCATTAAATCAAAATTTTGGAATCTATAATTTTTATAAATTTCATTATTTAACACTTAATAATATTTATCACAATTATTTATCCATCCACTGTCACTGTTAACATTTAGTTGAATTGATTCATCATTATGATTAGAATCCACTTCAGTTTCAAATGCAACGACTTCATTAATTTCTAAATTTTCAATTCATGCTTTAAACAAATTAATACAACCACAACAACAACATCAAGCCTTTATCCCACTACGTGGGGTCGGCTACATGAATCTTTTTTCTTCATTGTGTCCTATTAAAAGTCAAATTCTCGTTTAAATCTAATAAAGAAAGGTCATTCCTAATATTTTCTAACCAAGTCTTTTTAGGTCTACCCCTACCTTTCTTAATATAAGTCAAATCTAATATCTCTACTCTCCTAGCCGGGTCATCGGAAGGCCGTTGTTTTATGTTAATATTGTTACAAATTTAATTTTGTTTATTTCATTATTCAACCAATTGATTTTACAGAGTGGCCAAAATCTCATCCCTTTGATCAGTCGTTAACCTTGATATAGAATCCTGCTTCTAAGTGTCAATTGATAAAACCAACGGCCCTAATTTTATGTGTAGGGTTTCTAATACAAATAAGATGATGCAATCAATATAGCTCCAACAAAAGATATTAGAATTCACATATCTAAGTCTACTATTTGCACAAGATTTTTTCCTTGGTCCAACTTCAAAATACATGAAAATCAAGACCAAATGATAGTACAGGTTCGATTAATTAAAAAATCTACTGAGAAATTTGGACCCAAAAAAAAGAGAGAAAACGATTGAAAATCTATGCATTTTTACATCAAAATCTTATATATTTACTTATTGGTTCTTTAAACTGCTATGCAAATAGACAGTATTTGTTGATGGAATGTGAATTTGTGTACAAACAGCTTGTCAAGCTGCCTGGCCTCATACAATGAAAGCAGGAAATTATGGTGCAACCAATTTAATGCTTTAACATCAATTTTTTATATGCATATTTAATTTTATGCAACTTAGCATTTTAATTATTTTACTTTTCAAACAATTTTGAAAGCTTAAAAAGATTAACAAAGAAGAATTGGTAAAACCAAAATTCTTTTGGAGAAAACTGTTAACATTCATAGAAAGGCATCTTTGAAACTGTTTCACTTTTCGTTTTATTTATATTATGTGCCTGTTTGCCTTTTTTTTAAGGTAAAAAAATGTTATTAATTCTGCTTTATATGTCCATAAGATAACATTTATTTTCAAAGAGAACAAAACAGACCACCAAACCTATTTTCTCTACTCGATATCTGTTATCTAGAAAACATTAAACAACAATGAATATGGCCTGAGCTATGCTAAATTTCCTATTTTCAACACATTTAACATAAAACAATGGTTACAAATCATAGATATTATTCTCACCCTAACACAAATTGATAACTGTTACTGTACCACTTATACATGAAAATTATACAAAATTGAATGAGTGACATCAAGGCAAGTTGGGCTTCCTCATAATCACAGTAGCAAAAGGGCACATCAAACACAACAAATAATGTCAAAATAGCTTAAATGAATATCATAGTGTCATTCATGGAGCTCCTCATACCTTATTTAGTTGATAGATTTCAATCATCGTCCTTGAACTCTCTGATTAGAAAAAAAAAATATATCAATGTTTTTTTATCATGAGGATGTTCAGAAAGCTGGTCAATTTATATGTATTTATTAAAAAGAAGAAAAAAATTCCCCACAGGACTTATCAAAGAAAGTATAGCCAGAAAAAGATTGTTTTCTTCCTACTAGGTCGGCGCTGGTTTCCGATGCTAGTTAAATTAAGTAACCTACTTAAAAATTTTATTGATTATTGATAAAAAGGTAAAGATCTAGTGATTCAGGTTATTCAATTTTAATACAAGCTAACTTGTTCTTCTTCCCATAGAAGAAACTTGTAATGATTTATCTCATGCCATACTTGAAGTATACTAATCCCTGATTAAAACTTCTGTTGCAAATGAATTTGGAATTCTATTTTATAATTACCATGAATTCGAGTATTACAAGCACTAAATTTTGAATAATTTCCCATGATCTGAAAACCAAAGGATGATTTTAGGTTACCCAATAACCTCAAAAGCAACAACAACTCTTAGAATTTATTTATGTACTCATAACAATTTATGTCCCTTGGTTCAATGAATTAAACTCATCATGTAAATGATTGTGATAAAACATTGGTAGATATTTTTCTTTTAAAAGTTCTTTGATTTCAATCCTAGTGATAGAAAGTTCCCTTCTCAATCTTTACCTTTGTTTCTCAGTACGCATCCAATAAAATTTAACAAGCCTGATAAATTTTAATTTAACAAGTCTCGCTTGTCTCTTATCTTACTTAATTCTTCATTAAAACAAATTAACCAAATCAACTATCCAATAAAAAAAATAAAATCAATTTTACAAAAAAAAGTACACACTTTTGCTATGTCATCATTTACATCAACATTTTGGTATCTATAATTTTCATAAATCTCCTTATTAAACATTTATAATATATATCATAATTATTCCCCCATCCACTATCACTATTAACTTTAAGTCGAATTAGTTCATTATTATGAATGAAATCTACTTCAATTTCACATAAAAGAACTTGATTAATCTTTAAATTTTCAATTCATAATTTAATCAAATTAATATCATCGTATTTTGATTTTTGTTTATTTAATAATTCAACCAATTGACTTTTCAGAGTGGCCAAAATCACATTCATTTCATGATTTGTTGAGTTAACTTGAAATTGAATCCTGCTTTTGAGTAGCATATTGGTAAAACCTAAGGCTTTAATTTTAAGAGTCTAGGATTTTTAATGCAACTGGGATAATGTAAAAAATATAGCTCACACAAAAAAATTAGAATTTACATAGCAAAGAGCTAATTTTTTATTTTTTATTTTTTTTAATTTTTACATAGCAAAGAGAGCTAATTACAAAAAAGATCTTTATATTTAGGTTTAAACTTGAAAATACAAGAAAATCAAGACCAAATGATAATGTAAAGCCCGATTAATTCAAAAATAACAAATGAGAAATTTGAACAGAAATAAAATAAAGAGCAATTGAATTTTTATACAATAATTGAAAACTTAGTTGCATTTAATTTGTTCAAAATGAAGAACTCTCGCAAGACCAACAACAAATAATTTTAAAAAAATAAAAGTAATATCTTCTCCCAAGTTTCATATCGAACATCCAACAAGCACACAAAATTGGAAAATACAAACTCTAAGATTTCATTGAATCAAAGCCAAAAATCATCAATGCCTTAGATTATTCATCTCTTTATAATCAGCAAAAAATTGCAAATCACAGCCTCTAGAATTATTCTGGAGTCCAACAATCTAATAGTTGTTTTCGTAAATAGCCTAGAATTTTTTGTCTTACTAAACTTATTTGGGCCTTTATTAGACTAAAGGTATCATGGGTGAATCAAGATTACGTGCAACCTATTCAACCTATTCCTTAGATATGAAAAATCAAATAGCTTAATCATTGACTAACAATCCAAAATAACATCTGCAAATGTAGAAGATAGGGTATTCTATTGAAGTTACATATTTCCAATACTTATGATTTCTTTATGAAGACATGAATCAAGCACTTGCTTCCCACTACACACAACAATGCATTTTCCTAGTGAAGATGTAATCAACAAAATGGCAAATATTGTACCTTCGATCAAGATAACGTGGCTGAATGCCACTTCCTTGGCATGTGGTGCATGTTAAAGCTCCAGCGCCTTCACAATTGATGCATTGGGATACTTCACTTTCTCCTCCACCAACAATTACAGTTACAGTTCCTTTTCCAGTGCAAAACCTGCATTGCTCTGAAAATTCAACAATTCTGTTTAATTTTCCGCTCCTTCAGTAACCCAACTAGAAAAGTTATAAAATAAGAATGAAGCAATTTGTTAACTAGTAAAAATATGAAATTTTAAGTTATTAGCATAAATTAGTTGTTTGAGTTTGCTCGTCATGGGCACTAGCCTAAAAGCAGGGGCTCAATCCTACCAAGTATTGCATGAGGTGCCAAATCTATTTAACAAACTTTTTTTTTTCACAACTTCTATTCATTTTTTTCTAATCCTTCAAAATTTATCTACCCTTTTTTTGTGCATCTTCTATCATTTATTGCATATTCCCAAATTAGTTAAGTCTATTCTTAGCTACCTTATTTTCAATAAATACTACTCCATTAATGAATATAGAGTAGATAAAATTAATATGCCTACTAAGTGTTGGATTAGGTGTCAAACCTATTTTGTGCGCATCTTGTTGCACAATTTCTAGTCATTTTTTTCTAATCCTTCAACATTAATTTTATAAGCCCATCTTATTGGTGTATATTCTACCCTTTATTATATATTCCCAAGCCACTTCTATTTTTAGCTAACTTATCTTCAATAGATGCTACTCCATTAATGAATATATCATTCCAACTTTTACCAAAGCTTCATCTTAACATCATCATTTTTATCATGCTCAACTTGGCTAATACTAATTTCTTAAATTATACAACACTCATATTCATAAAATATAATTAAGTTAATCCCATATTACAAAAACTCTGTTTAAGGCTCCAACATATTTTCTTATCGCATAACACTCCTAAAGTAATTTTCCATATTAACTTCCCAACTAAAATTCTAGAAGAGAGATCCTCATCAATATCTTGGATAAAAATCTAAGATTTGAAAACCTATTACATCTTGATATTACTTGATTATTTATCCACTCTCAATAAAATTACATATCATCTACTTAGTATTAGTTCCACTAATCATAAGCCTTTTATCTTACTAGACTTCTCTTCATTGTTAAAATCTTCCACATGTTTTAAAAGAGGTCACACAAAATGAGATATATCATTTGCACAAAGCATACAAAAAAGTATCTCACTTTGAATATTTTTTGTAGCATCTTCTGATCTTTCATAAAAAGTGCAATAAGACACAAAGTTAATATTGATTCTTCATATAATCATACTATGATTGGTAACTCTTTGTTACTCCATATTTACTTTTAATACTATTCAATACTTTCACATGTAACTTTAATAATTTCAACATACCTTTGACACAATGCTAATTTTTCTTAATATGATAAAATCAATTCACGTGGTGCTCAATGATACGTCTTATCATATTTGAAAAAAACTATATGAATATACTTTCTTTAATCTATATTTTTTTATTATTAGTACAACAACAACAAGCCTTTATCCCACTATGTAAGGTCGGTTACATGAATCCTTTTTCTCCATTGTGCCCTATTAAAAGTTAAATTCTCATTTAAATCTAAAAAAGAAGGGTCATTTCTAATATTTTTTAACCAAGTCTTTTTAGGTCTACCTCAACCTTTCTTAACTTAAGTCAAATATAATACATCTACTTTCCTAACCGAACCATCTTATAGAATTTTCCCTTAAGTTTGAGGGGGACTAATGAGGACATCGACAGACGCTATCGACATGTTTATCGCCGGCGAAACCGCAGATCGACGGCCACGATTCAGCGACTCTACTTTTGATTTAGATGTCATTATGTATTTTATTATTGTCTTGTTTGGTTTACTGTTTTTCTCATTTTATCCCTGTGGGGAGTTATGTTTCATTGTAGCCGAGAGGGCAATTTAGTATTTTCACTTTGTATGAGTAGAGACCTATATATAGTGGTCTCATGTATCATTTTGAGCTTAATGAATTTTGAATGAAAAAATTGATTTTGTTTCTTCTTACTCTTCTTGCATGAGAGCTAGAGAGAAGTGAGAGAGAAAGCCCAAGGTGAGGGCCAAAAGCAACACCCACCAGTCATTGGAAGAGTCCGTGACTCATGGTTTATCCCCGTCATCCCGCTCTTCCTCGTTCTCCCCAAAACCCGTCGGCCCAAAGCCATCCCAACCCGTCGGCCACCCCACCCTCCCCTTGCCGCCGGTAAAACCTCCCCATCACCGACCTCCTCTTTCCCCATTCTCTATAACGGCTAATTTCGAAATTCGAATTTTGAATTTCGAAAACTTTCCAAATTTGGAACTTCCAAATTAGGAAAGTTTTAAATCCGGTTCATAACAAAATTCAAAATTCAAAGGATTTCAATTTAATCCTTCCTAAATGTCATGAGCCGATTTGGAAACCAAACCCTTGCTCCCCACACAAAGTCTCTCCCCCATGAAGCCGCCGGCCACCTTGGATGGGCCCTCCTTCATGTCTCCAATTAATGCATTAATTACCCCATTAATTTGAAATCAATTTCAAATTAATCCCCATCCAATTTTGTTTAAAATCTGAGTCAAATTTCAGTTTTGAATTCACATGCTCCCTCTCCCTCTATTAAGCTGCCGGCCTCCTTAATGGACCACATTAATGCCCATTAATTGCCCCTTAATCCTCTTGCTAATTTGAAATCAATTTCAAATTTCTTTCCCTCCAATTTACACAAATTCTGAAAATTAATTTCAGATTTGTGTAACTCCCCTGTTTCCCTTACTTAACCTAATTTCCTTCATCCCATCCACCCGCCCCCTTCCTCCTCTGTTTTGGCCGACCACCCC